TTAAAACTTCTGCTGCAACTATGTTACAAGTGTATGTTGTGCACTTAATCTTGAAGAAAGCCTGTGTCTTTGATAGAAGATAAAACCTAGGCAAGTGAATTCATCCAGGGGGAAATACTCCTGAATTAAATAATTTAGCAATGATTAACATAAAAAGACTGATCACTGGTATTTGAAATTTGCAATCAGAGGGAAAGAAGAATGTCTTATAGGATGGAGACAGTCATTAGGTAGCACTATGTAGTCATTTACTATCATTGGCCATAGAAATACACTTATAGATATGTGAACCAGTTCTTCTCAAAATGAAAATCATCTTTGAGCCATACTACAAAACTGACTCTCTTATTTTTAAGCTTTCCACACATATTTCAAACTAATTTCAGCAAGCTGAACTATGCTTTATTGATCGTCATATTGATAACTATGACTTTTCCAAGTCCGTGCTTCGTACACATTGAACAAAACAAAAATTTTAACAGAGACTGACACAGACTAAATACTCAACAAATTTTCTTTTATTGCATCTTCACCCACCAGAATGCCATTTTGCTTTCCCACAAAGCTCATGTCATGCAAATCTTCCTCTTAATGTTTTTCTAAGCTTTTAACAACTTAGCCATTTAGAATATTTCCTATTTACTATCTCAACTCTGGGGTAAGAAAAAAGTTCTCAATGAGTATTTTTGGAGTCTTTCACACATCCAAAATAGGAAACCATATACTTTTTATACTGAAGTTTATACTTTCCATCTTTTTTCTCCATATAACTAGTCAATGCTTCTTCTGTGTCAGACATTCTTCTTCTAAACCCTAAAGGGATTTTGCATTGGTCATTTCCACTGTTAGCCCTTGAAATTTTGAAAAGCAGTGTTCACATTCTAAAAAATAGGAGGTTAAGACACATGCCCAAAGACACAGATAACACATGCTTGTATGAGATTCACCATAAACTTTTAAATATCAGATATTTTGAGCAATGTCTTCCACTTGAAAATTTTACTAAATTTTATGCTAATCAAATTTTGGCTTTGAAATGTGTTTATTTTAATCTATAATAGCAACATTTCCATTGTCATAATCATAATCATGAAAAGTAATTTAAAATATTTTAAGTAAAATGTTTTAATTTCAATCCTCACCATTTTATTGTATATTGGAAAGCATATGAAATAATTTGGTCAAAGTTTACTTGTAAACTAATTCTAATACTTTTAATAGAAAGGAAAAATAATGAAATGATACTTTTGTTTACTCAAGAGATACTGAGGCACAAATTTGTTAAGAAACAAAGAGAGTTTATTTGTGCTGATCAAAACTTCAACTTGGAAAGCATACAGATGGAAGCAGACTTGAGTATGTGTTCTAAAATCATACTGATTTCAAACACGGTTTAAAGACAAAACCACAAATAAAGAAAAGATTACATCAGTTGTTTGTCTTGAATAATTTGGATTGGTGTAGGCAGGGTAGAAAATGGGCTTGTAAAAAATGTTTTGAGTAATTTGTTCTTTTGCAAATTTTTTTTTTTTTTTTTTTTTCGGATCTGAAAATCTAACTCAGGACCTTGTGCTTGCCAGGCAGGCACCTTACCACTGAGCTGTATCCCCAGTCCCTGATTTGAAAAGTATGCATAAATCAGTTCTCTCTTAGAAAGAGAAGAGTGACAGGCAAAAGAAAAGGAAATTCTTGGAAGAGAAAGGAAGTTAGTTGCAGGGGTACTTTCAACATTGTGCATAGGATTGGTATATTCTGCTCTAAGGAAATCTATGACTGTCAGCGCACAAACAGCAGAATATTGTCTCAAACTGGTGAGATTTCTGCATATCTGGCAAAAGTGACTACTAGCTACATAGAGTAAAAATTTCTCCAAAGTAGACATGACCGAAGCCTGGACCCTTCCGTGTTGGTGGTCAAATGTTTGCGGAGTACCTCAACTTGCTTCGTATATTCACTTTAATTCTGTATGCAATTTCAATATGTTGTGATCTTAGAAATAGAGATGTTGTACATTAGAGCTTATTTAAAAGAAAATAACATGTTATACTTTTGATAGAGTGTGTTCGCAATGATTTTAGAGATAAGATTATATAATTTAAGATTTCCCACTCTAACATTTTAAATAAAATTGTACTTTAAGATTGTTTTCCACTCTTCTAAATACAAAGAATTGCCCTACGTATGGTCATTTCACAAAAGTTTTCTTTTAAAGTACTTTATTAAGAGTCAAAATCCCTAACTGAGGTATGTTAAACTCAACATGTTTTAATTTTGCAATATTGTTTATTTTCTTGGTGCTGTGTCAGGTAAAGAGATTTTTACTAACACAGTGGCAAATCCACTGGAGTTTACTTGCTCCGGGGTTGACACTCTAGATTCAGAAATTCATGCGCTAACACTTGAGAAGAATATCATCTAAAGATGCATGATGTATTTGCCTGAATAATAATGGAAATGTAGCTATCTGTAAAGAAACTTTAGAAGGCTGTACTTCACATTTTGTTGATGTGATAGTAGGAGATGGATGAGACAAAGCCTATATAAGAGATTCCCAGCGGGATTTAGCCTTTTAAATTATGTGTTATTCCTGCATTGTTCAGATAATACTTATCTATTCCTCAATTACTTGTTTTAAAGAGATATTTGTATTTCTTAGTGATGAGAGTGAAATGAAAAGCATAGCCAGTGATGTACACATACCATATGTTACCCTTTTAGAAAACATACTTAGTGGCAAATGTGTAAAGTCACATAACTCTATACCCAAATTTTCTTTAAAATTTTAAAAATCTTGAGACTATATTTGATTTTTTTTGTTGATAAGATTAAAGCTAACTGTTGAAATATTTCCTTCCTGTTGAAATGTTTTCCTCATTTAATGAGTAGGGCCAAACAAATATAAGTGGCATGGATTTTTTTTTTTTTTTTTAAACTCTGAATGTTTCTATAACTGTATGTAAAAGTAAGAGAAAATATACATTCAAAGATGAGCAGGGTAAATCTAAATTGAACCATAGTAAATTTTAAAAGATCAGATGGTTTTAATGTTCAAAACAAAAGATGGTTAAATATTATCTAAGGGGCTTGAGGTATAGCTCAGTGGTATACTGTTGGCCTAGCATGTACAAGGCCCCAGGATTCTTTCTTAACATTCAAAAAATATTTTAGAGGTCTATTACCTGAACATGCATTTTAGGGTGAAGAATATAGGCAGGATAAAAGAAGAAAGAAAATAAAGGATAAATGAAATTTCTACCTATAATTATCTCCTTGTCAAGGCTCTTTCTCCACACCATCCACTAAGTATACCAGGCCTGTAATCTGTATTTCAGTCACACAGATATTTCTGGAGCTAAATTGATGTGCATCAAAGATAATGAGGGATGAACATCAGCATTTGAAAAGAGAATCCCTATGCGTAATATCTCAACTATACAACTCAGAATTAAAATATATCATTGTGTAAATTAAAGTTAAAATTTTGACCTGCAAACAATGAAGAATGTTGTAACAATATTGGTAAAGTTTCCCATTACTCACTCAAAATGTCTGACACCATCAAATTAAAGGAGAAGAAGTTTAATTTTCCTCATAGTTTCAGAGGCTTCAGTCCATGGTTGCCTGGGTTCAAGGCAGAAACATCACAATAGAGGAATATAGTGGAGATGCTTACTTCACTGCACCTGAAAGCCAGAGCAGAGAGGAAGAATCCCGAACAGAGATACACCCTCCAAAGGCAGGCCCCAGGGACCCATCTCCTCAGAACACCTTCAGTTATAAACACCAGTGGATACATCCACTAATGAGCACTACACCTCCACGATCCAATCACTTTTCCAGGAGTATCTTAATTTGGTTAAGTTGACAAAACTAAGTGGCACAAGTACATCCTTTGTCAATTTGACACATAATCACTCCTCCTTAAGCCATACTTAATCTCCAAATAAACAAGAATAAGTCATTAATTGTGACTAACATCCTCTTTTATGGCCAGAATATAAGTTTTTCAAAACATTTTGCTCTGACATTTTTCCCCCAACTCCTTAAATTTGGCTGAAAGTATATAAGAGTACTCATGACATTTAAACTTTCTTGAAATTTAAACTTTCTTAAAATTTCCCTTGACAGACCAGCTAGTGTACCATCCTTAAATTCAGGTTCCCTCAAAATCTCAGGATGTGGGGACAATGTAGACAATTTTTTTTGCCAGGGTATACTGTGCTTTGCCTCTAGTCCAATTCTTAAGAAAGTTTTATTCTCAACTGAGATTTCACTATCACGGTATTTACTGTTCACATTCCTTTGAGCATTGTGTTCTCCTTAACCCTGTCCAGAATTACTCATTGAGCTCTGCTTACAATACTCTTGGGCTTTTCTGGTAAAATTCCCCAATTTTTCCAAATTCCTCCCATAGTCTAGTTTCAATGGCTTAAAGCCATTGAACCATAAAGTCAATTATAGTTACAGCAAGAATCTTAACTGGTGCAAATTTTCTATATTCCTCTTACGAGATGATATATGTGTATGTATTTGCATGTGTATATATATGTATATAAATATATTTATACGTGTACATTTTTGCATATAGACATATTTTGAGATGATAGTAGCGAGGATAAGTATGTAAGTATACAAAGTCACATATCTATTTGATTAAACATTCTTCTCTTTAAATGTAAATTAGTGGTAATTGTGATTGATATGTTCAGTGGTATATTCTCAGGTACCTTGCACTTTATAGGCATGCAGTAAATATTGCTGAGTGAATGATTGGTATAATACATATTAATGCAATTTCATTTTAGTTGCCAGGTGCTAAATTTCAAAGTAATTTATGTTAGTGCAGATTTGTATTTTATGACTAATGTATCAGTCTAACTAAAACAATCTTTTCTCTTTTTTTCTCTTCTCTTCTCTTCTCTTCTCTTCTCTTCTCTTCTCTTCTCTTCTCTTCTCTTCTCTTCTCTTCTCTTTTTTCTTTCATTTTCTGTCTTTTCCAGATCCCAATGCTCTGGCTGGTCAAACTGGCCCAGACCATGCTCTCATAGGTGGAATAGTGGCTGTAGTTGTATTTGTCACTTTGTGCTCTATATTTCTCCTTGGTCGATATCTGGCAAGACATAAAGGTAGGTTGTACTTTGAAAAAGTACTATGAATTTTGGCATAAATATTCTAAAGTCTAGCCTTGTCCTAAAGTATTATATTACATGAGTACGTATATTTTTGTGTGCGCTTTTTATGGGAGGGAGAGAAAAAGTGAGACTGAGAGAGATAGAAAAATGGGGAGAATCCTCAATACTAAATTATTTCTGAAAATTCTTGATAATTATGAAACGTCATTCTAGTACTATATTTTAAAATAAATTATATCAAGAATATTCTAGTTTCCTATTGTAAAATGTTCCCATATTTCCTAATATGGCTATATTTTCATAGGTCTACAAACAAAAATGTCCCCCAAACACATGCTTATAGGTAGATTTTAATACTAGAGATAAATTACAAATTTTGAACTCCTTTTTTGAGGCAGGGGTTCCCTTCATGAGCTTTGGCTATTGGGTAAACATTATTCTACCAAGCCAGTTTCATACTAAATTGAGTAAAACTGACTCAGAAAGAGAAAGAATAAAAGTTTGTAATTATCTCTAGGATTAAAATCCACCTCTAAGCATTTGGTTGATGTCTTTTTGAAATTTATGAAAACAAAATGTATGCACCCATATCTATGAGGAAAATATGTGATTTTTTTTAAGATGGACCATTGTGTTATTGTATTATTGACATAGCTCCCTTTTAAATAGAATTCCTGAAATGAATGGTGAGACATTTGGCGTGACCATTAACCACATCTTAACAAAGGACTCTGGTTGCTTCCCCTCAATCCTGTATGTGTTCTTTGTCATCCATTAAAGACGTCAAACTTATTATCCATTCTAGTTTGGCTCTTGCCTCTAGCTAACTGAGCCACAGCTCCACTTGCAATGTGTACCTGAAAACAGAAAGATAGGGTGTAAGAGTAGAAGAGTGAATTGTGTGCCTTATTATGTCTCAGAGTATGTTCCAACATGTAAAAAATCTGACAACATCCTTCTTAAATAAATGTGGCTTTAGTGCTAGCTATTTTCCTAGGCTCACAGAACTAATGCAGTTTTCTTCCAATCTCCACAGGAACATATTTAACAAACGAAGCTAAAGGAGCTGAAGACGCACCAGATGCCGACACAGCCATTATCAATGCTGAAGGCAGCCAAGTCAATGCTGAAGAGAAAAAAGAATATTTTATTTAAAATTCAGGCCACCATTCTGAGTTTTACTTACCAGGCTGACTGCTGGAGAAAACTGGCTATCTTTCAGAAATCATTTCTACCATCCTCTGCTACTTTTATTAACTTCCATACTCTGCTGTCTTCAGTAGCCAGTGTATACCAACAATCAGCTGTCAGAAGCATCATTCTTTAATTATTGTACCATCCATAATGCAGGAAATCTCTTCTGCTAAATTTCACACCATTGCTCTTTTAACATACAGTGCTTGAATATACAGCCTTAACAATGTTAATCATCTACTTTGATCATGATATTGAGTTGTTTTTATACATTTCAAAATGTATGCAGATGTCCCTCCCCCCACTTTTTTCCCTTTAAGTCATAGATCTCATTGGTTTGCCATTGGATGGCTTTCACAAGTACCAAGATTAGGTAAAGACCTAATGTACCTAAGTTTGACTGAAGATTAGAGGTTTACAAATAATTTTTTCTACCTGTCTATCTTTAAAAATGATATGTTTTAGAAACATACGCCCTAGAAAATACAAATTGAAAACACTGTAGTGTAGTTTCTGGAATGTTTGCAATTATACTGGTAGTGCTGAATCAATTTGCTATTTAAAATATAGCATTTGATACAGGAGCCATGTGTATAAATTACAATCATGACATGACATCTTACATAATTATATATTTATACCATTAGTGTATTTTCATTTCATTTACCAGTAAGCTGTTCCAAACACTTAACTGTTTTGGGAATTACAAGAAATTACTCATTTCTCTATTTGGTTCTGTAATTTATTTCTCCTAAGAACTCATTTTCCTAAACAAAATTGAAGTATCCATAGGGCACAATTTTGAGACATTTTAGTATCTGTATATAGTGCATATAATAAATCCAATTAAACATTATTTGATACGTATTTAACTTTTTTGGCTGTAGGCAATTCAGTCATAAGTAAGCATTTTCTAACGTCCATTACATCCCTTTAGATATTACTTAACCCAATATTATAAGTAGATAACATGTATTAGTATTTTTGTCTGTATGTCCTAGCACTGTTCAACAACAAATTTTTCTAGTTCTTGTTAATTTTTATTTGTTATACAACGGAAGCACAATGTTATAAGGAAAGGTAATTTTAAGCTAACAACCAGTGCACAGCCTCAGGTTTTAAATTACAACCACAGTTGAATAATAATCTAAAAATATACTCTTAGTTTGCTACAAATTTACAAATTTTAATTTGGCAGCTCCAGAGCTGCTTACCTTGGTTGGTTTGCCAAAAAGAAGTGTTTGAGATATGTTTTCTGTATAAATGAACTAATCCTTTATATTAAATTCCTGTCTATGCATTTTGTGAGGTACAAACTTATGAAACAGTGAGTGATAGAGAATTTCTGCCATGCTTTTAACTCCAAGGTGAAAGTCTCTTTCTCTGGGTTATTTTGAAATTTTGATGTATTTAACAATTATGAAATGCTGTATTCTTAAATACGACACAGAGTCGATCTAAAGTCCTGTTATTTCTTCTAGTAAAATATAATATTGCTAGATTAGTTTTCATTAAATTTATTATATACTAAAGAATAAAAATCCAGTTAGATAAAAAGTTATTTTCCCATTTACAAGCCTTGCACCTTTAAAGAGGAAAACAAATATGACAGAATGGTAGCTATACTTGTGATGTCTAACAGCATGATGGCCTAGGGGTGTACAAATAATATCTGGAATTTATTTTTTAAGAAACGAGAATGGCTGAGTACAACATCCTGTATTAATATCAAATGAAAGATAAGGGTGCTGTATCTAAGGTTATTTATCAAAAAAGTATAAATCTTTTAAGGACAATGTTAGAATTTTTAAGTTGTTTATTTTTGATTGTTGAAGCATTTATCTTGTTGATTTCTTACAAAAGAAAAAGGACGATGTCAGTCAAGCAGCACTTTTTCAAAATATACAGAACATAAATAATATGATGTGGTTGAGTGTTAACATAATAAATCATATACAGTATGACATTTTAAGGAAATAAGTCTGCATTGATGTGATTGCATGCTTGTTTTTACAGTTCACTCCATACCATCTGTGGAAAAATGCAATAATATGTTAATATAGTATGGTAGTTTGAGAGAATCAGGTAGGTGCTACTAGACACATTGAAACTAGAATAGGTTTATAAACTGTTCATATCTTTCAATGCATAATTGTTAGAAAGACTCCACAAAGCAAAATTCATCCTGTTAGTGCAAAATGGAAAGGTTCTTATTGCCTAAATAAACTGTATAAACTGCATCATCAGTTACTATTTAAAGCTTAATTTCAAGATGCACTTACAAAATTGCTACTTTTCATTGATGCTGTATTTCCATCCCTCTTAATTTCATCTATATTCTACTTGGCTCCAACCGCTAAATTGTTGCCTAAATAACTCAATCATTATTTATAGTACTGTAAAATTAGAACTCCAAAATTGGTTACATTTCAAGATTTTTGACATTTTTAACCCTTCAGAGTAACATAAAATGTCATTATAACTCTTAAAACTAATAAATTAAAATTCATAGTCTTTAATGAAATATTTTCCAGTTAACTATAGCTTATTTTAAATTAAATGTCATTTTCTGTGACAGGAAAAAATAATTAGCAATGGAGTTGCACTTTCCTATCTTTACAAAACATTTGATTTCACTACACAAGGAAATAAATTATAAAAATATTGCTCATTTCCATTCCAATAAATCAGAAAAAAAATATGTAAGACATCTAAATGGGACCCATGTCAATTTTGAAGTCTGAAATGTGCACAGTTGTATGCACATCGAGCCGCTTTCTGTCTCTGGTAACGGAGCACGGACTCTGGAGAGCTCAGTGGAAGGAGTGTGGGCACACACACACACCCCTAGTAGAATATGGAGCATTGTTCTTTACCAAAAGTAGCTATTCTCTGCCAGTGTACTGTTTACAGTGTAAATTGATTGTCCTCCATCAAAAAAAAAAAAATCTGAACAGCATTCTTTTTTTCCTCTTTCCATTTTTTGAGTGTTCTAGGTAGAATAATAATCTAAATTAGGAAGAAAAGGCAAAGTATTGATTGTAAGAGTAAAAACAGAAACTATGAGTATTGATGTTTGTGTGCGTGTTTGAGTGTGCATGTGTGTGTGCGTGTGTGTGTGCATGTGTATGCGTATGTATAAGAGAGGAAGAGAAAAAAGACACGCACAGAGATTTCAACTTGTTTTCTTTTACTAGGAAAATCCAAGACGTAGTTTAGGGGACTGATACTGGAGTTTAATCTAGAAACTGGATGATCTCATATGAATTCATGCTTCTTAATCTTTCATTGAAACTCCACAATTAAAACAGCAAAGAGAGAAAGAAACTAACTTTCCTCATCATGACAAAGAAGTTAACACCTCATTTATTTTATTTCTTTGTAAAAAATATAAATATCTCAATTAAAAAGCAGGCTCACTTGTAATTATGTACTCATGACTGTAGCAGCATTGAGATTCCACGTAGGCACATGTACAGCGGCTGTTTGACAGTGATGGCTCTTCCATGTAACATAGCGTTATCGTGTAATTTAGTGCCACTTACTGCAAAGTGTTACCAAAGGGAACACTGAGAACGCTTTTCCTTTCTTCTTTGGACATAAGGATAATTCAATGAATGGCAAAGATACAATGTTACATTGTTTTTTAACTGCGGAGAAAATGCAAACCTCATAACTTACTGCGACTTTCCCATCATAGTTAAAATTACTTAGAACTATTGAAATATGCCCAATATTATTTCCTTTTGCTAGTGGTCATCTGTGATGAACACACACAAAACTACAAAAAAATTAACCTGTAATCACAGCTGAAATAAATAAAACACCTAGGAAGAAGTACTGATGAGTAATGCTTTTGTTAAGTGGCGTAAAGTACACACAAAACTATGCAAAATATAGGTAACTACAGTGTACGTCCATGTAAGTATCTTGTACTTGCTGTGTATGGATGTTGGAAACCCGTGTAATTATAATATGCATTTTGAATACTGGGAAAGAGGAAACCTTAGTGTAGATAATATAATTTGTTTTGAAATATACACTGGCAATATTGAAAAATACTCAGTGCAATATCTGTAATTCTATTGCTGGATACTTAATGCAAAGGGATTTTAAAGAATTCTTACACAAGATCCAAGAGTTTGCTAATCTTCAACTCTCACATATTAAAACCTACTCAAAAATGCAACTAATTAAACAAGTTTAAGGTTTTTTTTTACTTAAATACTAGTGTAAGTCAATAAAGTTATTATTTCACTTAGTCCTTAGCGTGACTGAAAAGAAATAACCTAAATTTTAAACTTTGATTGACATCTAATTGAATTTAAAAGTGTTAAACTATCTTTAATATATTTCAGTGCTTTTTATAAGTATGAATTTATTCAGTCAATGAACATGAGGTACATTTAATGGTTAAAAGTTATTGTATCTTAATGGCAATTCTGTATCTTTTTTTTTTTCTACTTTTTGCTTTCCTTTACCTCCTTTTCCACTTCAAACATGCCCTTTGCACTTAACCCTTCCAAAGGCAATGGATTGAAAGTAGCAAGATAATAAAGCGAGTTAAAGGGAACAACATATAAATATGGGTTCTATAATCATCAGCATTTTTATGTATTGAGATTATTAATATTGAATGCAATAGTTATTGGATATAGCTGGTAATATCTCTGCCATGCATACTTACAATAATCCTTCTACCTCTCACTTTTAACATGGGCTATGATACTTCAGTATAAATAGAGGAAATAATAACTTACAAGATATCCCAGGAAGCATTACTTTGGGACTTTCATAGCAGTGCACAAACTACCCCTGGGAAATCTCAAAAGCCAACTTCTTGTAGTATATTCTATGGTGTTTGGGTCTACGTTTGTTTTCCTTTTTTATCATTAACTTTTCCTATAGGCAAAATATGATAACGTGATGAGGATAGTTCTTCTCATGCCTATCTAGCATTCCACTGTAATATAACTGTAAATTTTAAAAAATAATTTAAATGGTAATACTTTGCAATCTGATCAATTTCATTTAATGTTTAAAATGTAGCGATTTCTTACAAGTCAATGTTTTGCTTTAAATAAAACTCATGCATTTGATGATTTATTTTGCTGAGAAATATTATGTATAAGACAAACATTGAAGTACTTAAAACTGCCTCTTTAATACCAAGTAATTCTAAATAATGCAAAGTATTGCCACAAACACCGACTTTAGTTTGTTTGCCTAGGCATAATATGAAGTTTTCAACATTGTATTTTATCTATACTAAAAGAAAATGCCATTTATGCGCATATTTTCCTCTAGGAAAAATGATATATCAATTTCTTAAATTATAATGGTGAATCTATAAAATATGCTTAAAGTTAAAGTAAGATGTTTCTATGTTATGTGGTTATAATACAATTAATATTTGGTCAAACCTTCACCTTCTTTTCCAAATATATATATATATATATATATATATTTGGAGACTATGGAGAGAACGGGCCCCAATGTGAAAAGGTGTAAAGAAAAAAGTCACTATTTTCCCCTCTGACATATGCTGTACATTTCAAAAGAAGTAAAGTTAAAAGATTGCAGGGGCAAAAGAAAAACTTACCAGGGCTCAGCACTTAAGCACTTTTCCCACATCCAGGGTCAAAGCAGCAGTGATTCCTATACGGAATCTTAAGTGCAGTATGACATGCAGCATTATGCTTACACACAGTACTGTCAAACCTCAGATACTTTCTTTTCGTAGATACTTTCCTTGTACATGATACTAGTAAACACTTTCTCTTTCTATTTGCTGTTAGTGAAAGTCATACGCAATAAAATATTGATGGTTGAAAGCAGTGGTCACTAATTGGTTAAAAAACGTATAAAATGTAAACAGAATTGTTATATCTTTCTCCTTTTTGCTTTTTTCTGTACTTCTAATGTGTTGAATGACTCTCATAAATAGAAAGATAACTGACCTAGAAATTTTTAAAAACTAGTAATATTTCTCCTTATAAATGTATAAAAATTTAATCTTTTTACAAATTTATTTAACTGTACCTATTGTACTTATTGTAGATTCAATGATGCAGTTAAGTAGTAACCCAAGGACTTGTGAGTTGGGGATTGCTGACCTACTTTCTTCATACTGAGTTTGCATTGGTATTTGTGAATTGGTTGTTTAGCTTTTCATTCAACCAAAAAATATTCCCTCAAGAAAGCTCCATTTTTATCATAAATATTTCAACATACCTAACCTTGGAACAAGTCTGCCATGTTAAAAAGAATTTAAAGACTTATCTCTGAAAATGGTACCCAGAAATGCAGGTGCTCCCAGTAATACAGCTTCAAAAATAAAACGTTCTCTTTGTATGACATGAAATTCATACCTTTTGGAAGGGTATTTTTATAACAGCATAAATATAGCTTCTGTGCTGTAAAATGATCCACCAAAATTAAGCATATTTCACACAAACACAATTATTGGATCTATTCTAGTCATTAACATTTTCAAAAACAAAATGCATATTGTAATATTAGGTACATGACACTTGCATGTTGGTATGCCTATATCCTTACAAAGTATTCACTGTGTACTTAGTGGCTCTGAAAAACCGTCATGTACAACTCTGATAAACATCCTTACAGGGTTCCCATTTGCACTTCATCTTTCAGTAAAGTCTTGTCAGAAAAAAAGTTGTCTGATAATTATGGAAAAATAAAATTTGAATTTTAGTTATCTGTTGGACATTACTGAATTGTCTATTCATTTGGCACACTTTCTTACACTTGAAAACATATTGAAAGATGGAACTTTCTTTTGCAAGTGACAGGCTATACACACGTCACTAAACAAGCATCTTTATGCTAACACATTATTTTGAATGCCTTTTTAAAAATGCACACATTACCCATCCATATTTTATTCTTTTCAATGATAGTCATTTTTCCTGTACATTTCTAATGGGAAGTTTTAAAATTTAAGCAGTAGTAAAATAAATGTTTTCTTATTTGTGCAACATTTAGTCATTATTCCTTGAAATATCTGAACCTTGTAATATGCTGATTAAGGGTCAAAAAAGTGTTGCTGACTTAGGGAAATTTGCTTGAGATTGCCAAACTTTCAAAACTCTGTAAAGGTAATTTTACATTCACTATGTATGTTTCTAATGTTGACTAGGAACAGAAGCAAAAATATCTAAACCTATTTTTTTTTAATTTTCACACTCTAATCAATATTATATATTTCAACTACCTAAGATAATGCAATTAATAATATATCCATCGTAAGCTTATGCCAACAAGAATTTGAGATAAGCTTTTAAATTTATGGAGGATTTTCTTTGTGTCTTTGGAAGTTCACTTACCATAAGATATTTTATAGTCTACTTTAACAGATTTTGTTATACAGGGTAAGCCAAAGGCTGTACAAGAATTAGTGTCATTTGGGTCTGATATTTGTGTTGGACCATGAAATATTCCATTAAAATTTGTCTGTAAATACAAGGCAAGATTTTGTATCTGGTTTGTTTTATTAAATAATCTGTTATTTTCTTTTCTTTTCTTTTTTTTTGCCCAGCCAAAAATGTCCTGCCATATAGATTAGGAAATGGTGCTTTATCAAAGATCAGAGTTTGCCCATCTTAAAGAAAACAATGACATTTAAAGTAAGATATTCATAGACTTTTTTCCTTTTCTTTTTAATGATACCAAAAATGCACTTTCATATGTAGCTTTTAAACAAAATATACATCATGCATCCATGCTTCCCAGAAGAGTCAACTGTTTTCCTAATGGCAATTTTTATTTTAATGAAAATGTTCTATGGCATTTTAAAATCAAAGATGCTCACTGAAAATTTCTTAATACAATTCACAAATAATATTTTAAAGTCTAAGTGCTCTTAATTATTACTTGAATAGTGGCTGGGATACATAACAAAGAATTATGTTATAAGGCAATTCTAGAATAATTACCTTGACATTTGATCCATGAATATATAAGCCAATCACCTGTTGCTATTAATTACTCATTCTCCACCTTCAGATTATTTTGGATTCGTAAGTGTTGAGTGACAGTCATGTTGTATCATGTGACCTTTCAAAAGGCATTAGAATTTTTAATTATATTGTGAGTATACAGTATCCTGCTATGCTGATGAAATCAAGAAATGGACATATGTATATTATATTTTATTTTTCTTTTTTGAGGTACCGGGGATCAAACTCAAGACCTTGCACTTGCCAGGGAGGCGCTTATGCCATTGAGCTATACCCCCAGCCCTGTATATTATATTTTCTTTAGAAATAGGGGCAGATTTTTGTCTCACCATGGCTCCTCGCCAAGAATATTTCTTTCAGCCTTGCACCAAACATGGTGTCTCTCCAGAAACACTAATTATATTTTCCTTCTTGTACCCATCACTACCTGTGATTTAATGCTATTTGAATATTTCTATCATGTGATTCTGTACTTCTCCCAACTACTTACTAATTTCCCAGAGACATGAAAGCAATATTATCAAGAAGATATTTTTGAGGAAAATTTGAAACTGATATCACATCTTATAAATGGAAACTAAGGTTGAAGGTCACAAGACAATTTAGTGGAAGTATCAGATTTAAAATTTAAATACAGCTGCCAAATTACATTGCCTATCTAGTATGCAATTTTGTTCCACTGGCAACACAGAGTCAGATTTTGCTTTTCCATTATTGTTTGCCTAGAATTACGAGCAGCGTTCATCAGAAGCAGTTAATCTATATTACAAGAATTTGAGGGTCACAATTTTTTCAATTTGTAATATTCTGATCATCTTTTAGTGTTCTCATAAAAGAATGATTAAAATACAATTTAGATGTAAATTCAAATTAAAGAGAATACTGACAATAAGCAGGAACCAAACCAAAGATTTATTTTAATGGGAATTCATAAAGCAGAAAGGGACAGTTGGGAACAAGATAATTTATTGAAGTGAGACATTCATAACTTTGTACTAAAAAAGGTTTTGGATATTGTGCTGGAGGGTAAGTACGTTAAGGAGTGCATGGCTTAGATAAATATTTCTTCAATCTATTGTACAAACAAATCTTGAGCTCTCGAGGCAAATTCACTGAACTGTCATTGGGAATTATCTTACAGTAAGCTTCCATAATATTCAAAGGCCAAACTTACAAACAAGATACTTCAATCATCACATTTTGCCAAATACAAAAACGAGAACCAACTTGAATCCCAATTTATATTGCTAGGTATCTGCTTATATTTATAATCTAGGGGAGCCTTGTTGGTGCAGGAATGACTTCTTCATCTAAGTCACAATCCAAAACTTACATCTAGGCTGACTTTGTGGCTAAGTGGCCAGTGAAGCTGCACAAAACCCTGAGCTCAGAGTAGAATCCTATTTGTAGGGTTTAATGGTCACCAATGGTAAATCTTGAAGTTCTAAATGACTTTATTGGGCTGGGGATATAGCTCAGCTGCACAGCACCTCTCTGAGAAGCATGAGTTCAATTCCCTGTACCAGAGAAGAAAGAAAGAAAGAAAGAAAGAAAGAAAGAAAGAAAGAAAGAAAGAAAGAAAGAAAGAAGAAAGAAAGAAAGAAACTTTAACCTTGAAATTGCACTCTCTAAATGAAGTCTAATGAGATGAAAGAGCATGTATGAGAGACTTCCTGTTATGTATGGCTCTGAAACTCACCACCTCCTTGCCTCGCAGGGAATGTTCTCAGCTACTCACTCTTTTTTGCACTGGTGTGAAGGTTCAGAGCCCCAAGGAAAACCATGGATGTTTGCAAAGGTTTTTACTCACCTAATGAGTAAGCCTGTGCCAAAGAGTCCCACATTTAAAAGAAGATTTAAATAAATGGGTAGGTGCCATGATAGACACTTCATAGAACAAATATAAATGGCCAACATATACAGGAAGACATGCTAATTAAAACAGCACTGAGATTCCACCCTACTCCAGAAAGAATGGCTGTCATCAAGAAATCAAATAATGACAAATGTTGTGGAGAAAAAGGAACACTTCTCCACTGCTGAAGAGAAGGCAAACTAATAGAACCACTGTGGTAATCAGTGTAGACATCCTCAAAAAATACAACCAATAATTCCATTTGAACCAGCTATTCCCCACCCCTCTTCCTTTTTCCCAAAAGAGCTAAAAATCACATAGTACAGTGATCCATGTGCACTCACATTCATAGCAGCTTAATTCATAATATCCAGGTCTTGGAAGTAGCCTAAATGTGCATGAATAGATGAATGGATTAAAAAAATATAGTGCAATACTTCCCCACGATGAAGTAAGTACTCTGAAAGAGAAACTTGAGTCATTTGTAAGAAAATGGATTTATCTTGAGACCTTACTATTAAGTGAAATAAATCAGACACATAAACTTAAATATCACATAGTTTCTCATATGAGAAGACAAAATTAAAAATAAGGAGCAAAATAAAAGGTAGATAAGAGAATGGGGACACAGATCTTTCTCAAATGTGAAGGGAATCAAGAGGTGGAGGGAGGGGAAAAAGAAGGGAGAGAAAGGGGGTGGAAAAAGCAAATTAAGATGTATTATATGCATGAACGAACTCCTCACAAGGAGGACAAACATTCTGTACAGCAGACATGTGCTTGTGAAAGTAAAAAAGAATTCTCTAACAAGTTGAGAGAAATAACATAAAAGAAAGATTTTTTTCTCTTGAGTTCTAATGAAAGGGCATCAGATTTTAATTTTGCACTAGGTTCACAAATTATGTATCAGTCCCCGCTTACCAACTTAATAATGTATAACTGCCTCTTGTTTTCTGAAGGAGTTTTGGAAGAAAACTGGAATATCTTTAGATACCTTGATTCAGTGGGTACCAAATAGGATATATTTCTTCTAATTTTTTATTTAAATATTTGGCAAAAATTTTGCTCCCCTCTATTTCAGGAGAGACACACAAATCATGTCAGTGTCCTCAGATCCTAAGGAAAGTTACTTAGGAAACTGACATTTTCATTTTCTCAATGTTCTAATCTTTATATGAACAACAAAACAACTGCTGAAATGAAAGATAATGCATCTTTTTAAAAAAATCTAAATCAAGCACATAAAATAAATGGCTCAGTACTACTTTTGCAGTTTAGAGAAAGGACATTGCCAGTCATTTCAGACTATTCTTTGAGGATATCAGTTCAATGCAGTACAGTATATGTGACAGGGGAGACAACAAGATAGCATACTATGAATAATAAATTTAAAATAAATGTTAAATAATTTACCTGCTCTTTGTGATTTAAATTAAACCAGGTAGTACTTTACCCAGACTCTCAAACACATTTTTAAGGTAGTCCCTAAAATGACATATTTAAAATGTATCAATCATTTTCCTGTCTCTTGAGAAAAATACCTGAGATCCTCAACTTAAAGGAGGAAAGGTTTATTTTTAACTGACTATTTTAGGGGGTTCAGGCTAACGATGGCTGATTCAAAGGCAGAAGAGATGCAGAAGAGATCACAGTGGTAGAAAATTTCTCAGGTCTTGGCAGCCTGAAAACAGGAGACTCTGGCAATGGAGATTTCATGCCCCTCAGAGCCACGCCCAGCGTCCTATTTTTTCCAGTCAGGCCCTGCCTCCTAATGGCACATACGGCTGTGACCACCTTCATGATCAATCGTCTTTCCAGGGCCCTACCCTTCAATGAATGAGACTTTTGGGGGGACATTTTGCATTGAAATCGTAACAGAAATCACTATCATTGATCTTATCAAAATGTAAATAAAATTTCAATTATTCTTCCCACTGAAACACTTCAATAATTCTCATTATTTTTCAGATAGAACTATGTACACCAAACTTTCTAATCTAATCCTGCCTTTCAAACCAATTTAGACATATAGTTTCCTTCTAACCATCCAGTTCTTTAACAACATCTCATATTACTTAAGTACCTTGGGCTTTTTCACTTTTCTTCCTGTCATTTATTCAATAAGATTTTTAATCAATAGAAGACACCAAGTCAGTTTTGTGAGCTTGTGGTACAATATTTAGTAAATAAGATGCCACCCCTTATTTTACGAAATATATACTGTAGGAGGTGGACAAATAGCAAAAAGATACCACAAAGCCTATAATTGCAAACTCTAATAAATGTGATCAGCAGATATGAAATGCTATACAGGGTGAAAAAGGAAGGCACACTCTGCCCAGGTGGTGCCGTCTGAAAGGAAAAGTATGAGCTGATATTTGAAAAAATTGAGACAGGTCAATCAGGAAATATAGTTGGAATAGAGGGAAGAGCATTGTTTTTGACAAGGAGAAAGGATGCCAGGACGGACATACTTCATCTTTTATACTTATCTGTGTTTATCTCAGTCAGGAGTTTTTCCACGATCAGTCTAAACTCTGAGTAATGCTATCAAGGGCACACAATGTGCTGTATTGTGGAATATTTGTAAAAGATGTGACAAAAACAGTAAGACATGTTTCCACACAACAAACAGAAGTAATTCTCATTTTTAGAG